GACATCTCAGGGCACGAGGCTGGACAGCTCACCTCAAATTTCTAAGCAGTATGTAATTAAGTGGAATAGACTTACTGATAAAAAACTATTTGGTCTATTTAATAAAGACAGAAGAATACTTTTTTTCCATATTCTACATCACAATGTTTCAAACATGAAGATGGCACTCGATCTATGAGTTAACAATGCAAGAATACCAATACCTACATGGGCATGAACTCAAACCCCCAGATTTCTTTCCCTGGACATAAAACCAGCTGTATGCACATGCTGTGCTGACATATGCACCTACTCCTACTTCTTTTACAGCAATTTAAAAATATGCCTCAAATAAAACCAAAATAGCAATTTTTTTGTCATGATTCACTTTGCGGGTGGGGGAGGGGGGGAAGGGAGCGTTTCAAAACAGAATCTTTTTATAAGTGACTCCATCTAAAATGGATCTGGGTGTAAAAGGACTGCATGCAAGAAAAAGCTCAGCAGAACTCAATGTCTAGAACATGTCAGCGTCTTCTGGAAACGTTCAGCATCACAGTCAAGATGTTTTCCCAAAAGACTTCTACAAAATTAATGGCTTCCTCAGATCAAGAGCCTGAGTCAAAGGGAATAATTTTTTTGAAACAATTGGAGGGGAAAAAAAAAAAAATCAGGAGAGATCTGTTTCAGGGGAAGGTAGGAAATAGTTGAGGTTAAGTTGATAAGTTTCATTGAAGATGCACCCAAAAACTTCATCTCTTTCCAATCAGTCCACATTCAGCAGGTTTTTTTTTCTTCGAATTATACAGAGCAATGTGTGAATGATCTCACTTGTTATTTTTCATATTATCTGTGGTACCCTATTAAAAAAAAAAATCCCAGAACTGAGAGGTACCTATTACAAATCAGCTTTTTACACTGACAACACATCTCAAATTCCCTATGATTAGCATTAGGGAAGTTTAAGACTTAGGTTTCAAAGTAAAATAAGCCAGACTTAAAGCACTAGATAAAAACTTTGCAGAGACACTGCATACACAGAGTACTTAAAGGAAAAAAAAAAAAAACCACAACCCAAATCTCTGAATTTGGATGCAATAAGAAAAGGTGACTAATTAAGACAGATACTTCAGTTCAGACCCAATAAACAAGATGTACTTACTTCTGCAAACAGCCTATTATTTTCATGCCAGACAGCTCCAAGTGGTGGATCTGGCAGCCTTCTAGCCCAGCCAAACACTATGTTGTTGCTTATCAAGACAGTTGTGGCAGTGTAAATATTGGTGTGTTACCAAAAATTAGTGTGTACACACACAAATCTATCTCCAGAAATTTATGTACAGCCTTTTGCGAAGTCTATCTTATGGGTTCAGAGCACAACTCAAAAGTATTTTCCTTGAGCCATTTGTATAATGTCCTCTATTTTCTGAAAAAGCATGCAACCTTCGTTTTCAATAAGAAGGGAGTAAATCTTGATATTGTTTTAATGATGCATCACATGGGTCAAATAAAAGCTTCCATTTACAAAGGGGAAAATGTTGAAGAAAATGTGGCGAGAGATATGCATACAGTGGGCATTTCTACTCGAAACACTCATAACCACACCTGTGAAGCTTGCTATGCATTTATTGCAAAACAATCTTTAATAACTCTCTGAGGTGGCATAAACTTTAATAATTAAATTATTAAGTAACTTCTAAAATTGAGGTGGTTTAAGAAAAAAAAAATACCGGTGATTTCATTTTCCCTAGTGATGCCCTCATACACATGTCGATTTGGTGCTATGAATGGAATACTCCGAGCATTTTCTCCTCAAAAACAGTAATTACCACTAACAATATATTTAAGTATTAATATTTAAAAATTTAATGTTTTGAGAAAAGCCAGTTCCTCATACTAACACAGTATCTTTCCATTACAAAGATGCCTCCTGCTACACAACACTTTCCTAAGCAAAAAGTCAGTCTGAAACAAGCAGCATTTAATTTTATGGTTATGTGGCAGTGATACACCAAAATCTGTCAAGAGTGTCTTGTAGAAAGACAGAAGTCTATTTTAGATGAGTATTTTATGGAGTTTTCATTCTGCTCATCTTTAGATTTATGTATTCACAGTATCACTCCTTTAAAAAGATGTCTCATGCTTTCCAACAGCACTCAGCCACCAGAGGGAACTCCAGGTTTTCAGCCTTCACCTAGTCCCCGACAAGCCCTTTGGCATTTGATCCAGTAAGAAACCAGAGAACGGTCAGGAAAAAAAATGTTTATTTTTATTTGAAGTTGCACAAAATTCTTGCCCAAAATACTTACCTTCCATATTATCATTTAATAAAGAATACTGTAATGATTAAACAGACTGCAAACAACCTCTCCACAGTACTACAGCCAGGGCAGCCCTTCATACAAATATACTGGCTTTGGGACTTGTCCACATGAAAATACAGAGGACTAACAGAATAGTTGCTAGAGGAGGAGATCTAAAGAGGAATTCACCTAACAATACTAGACCTTTAATTTCTACAACATTATACCATTTTTCATTTCCACAAGGGTATGGGTCCGTTACTAATCCCAGATTACCTTCCTCTTCACCAACAATTTGGGCAATTTGTACTTGAGTGTGTAAAAAGCAGGAAAAGGCAGTAATTTTCTGAGGAACTCCAGCACACGCATCTTTGTTTTGGCAAGGGGAATAATTTGCTCTCTGCAAAATAAGTACAATGGGATCAGAGTTCAGCCTCTTCAGACAGCGATTTTGGAATAAATCTGCAGCCATGTTACAAAACTGTTAGCAATATCAGAGGCTTACTGCAGCTGTACAAGAGCAAAATCATCCCACAAGTCTATATATGGACATATTGCCTATTTTTTCATAGATAATAAAAACATTTTAGTGTAATGTTTGAAGAAGTATTTCTCTCTACTCTGCCATCAACTAGCAGGTTAACCCTTGAAGCTCTTTGCCCCTGGTGAGTGTCCAGGCCAAAATTAGTCCCCGCAGTGCTATCACAGTACATCCAACAAGACAATTCTCAAACACCTACTGAAAAAGACCAGAGACCCTGGGAAAGTCAAGCATTACACCCCAGCTGCAAGTAAAGAGATCTTTAAATCGATGGAAGAGTCAGGACTAAGGCACAATTTCCAGTTTCCAGGGTCCTAAACAAGGCTACAGACGAAGGGAAATCTGAAACGCTTGCCGTTGGGTAGTGCTGCCTGCCACACTCAGGTATGAGAACAACTTTAATGTGTTCAGTATATGGCTGTCACTGCTCAGCTCCACCTAAGATCTTGCACTTCAATCAACTTCCTCATGAAAGCAAGTGGGGTTTTTTTTGGTGACAAATAAAATTAAGATCATTTCCTGCTCTTAAAGCAGTACAGCACAGTTTGAAATGGAAATATGGCCCACCGAAGAAAAATTCTTGCAATAGGTAGTGCTGAACACCAGATGGTATCTACAAAATGGAATTAAAAACCAAGAAGTACTGCAGTCAATATAACCCCTCCTACAATCCCCATCTTACCAGTCTGATCAGCTGGGCTGGGGGAGGCAGTAATACAGAGGGTTCCTGCGTGTTTTTTCAGTGAGAGCCACCTTAACGCTAGCAATTTGCAATAAGCCTTTACAAATCAGCAGGGGAAAACCACTGCTGAACTTTGTTAGGTCTAAAGTGGATTTGTCAGAAGTATCCTTGCTCAGGAATGAATGTTATGCCAAACGTCATTGCTTCAACAAACTTATCAGTCTCTGAAATGCAAGTTAGCACTGCAAGTTAGCAAATCCTCACTCTGGAGGGGCCGAAAGCACACCCAGACTGTCAGTGGCTGCGCTAGGATACAGGCCTACTGTAAATCTGTAAGCGTAGAGGAGAGAAGGTAAAGCTTGAGCATACCGATAACTGCTTCCATGAAAATTAAGTCCAACTATTTCTGGCGAGAACCTGGTAAGCTTCTTCAAATGAAAAAAGCTGTTCACAACTGTGCATTACTGTATGACCTGAGGACTGCACACTTGCTAAGTGGCACTTCCATTTTCAGTCTTGCACTTCATATGATTATGCTGCTGTCGGTACCAGCCCACCTGGCTAGGCTGCATGCCGACTGCTTGTGCCCACAGTCTGAGACTCCAGAAGAAGGAAGAGAGTTAATATGAAAGACCACCTTCTCCGGGTAGCAGAGCGTGCCCTCTCCTATTTGCCTTCCTTTGCTCAGATAGATAGACTCAGAATGCAATAGTATTTACTTCAACTGTATAAATAATTGCTTTTCACTAGTAGTTTATTAATTTAAAAAAAAGAAAAATTCCAGCAATTCATATTAAAAAGTCCACCTCAGCCAAAACATGCCACTAGCTCCGGCACAAGATTTACCTCCATCTCTACAGACAGGCCTGATGTTTGCTCTCAGCAGCAAGTAAGATCTTAAGATCTGTACTTTGTATCAAGTATAATGCTTTAATATTAAACAACACATTTGCATATCTGCAGTAACTGCAAGGACAGCAGACAACAATTAGTACTGGGTATAATGGGAAAAATGTTAAAGAAAAATAAGCAAAACAGCAAACTTCATGCAGATATATTGAATTCTTAAAAATACAAAAACAAATAAATATTCACTTGTGTTTATCTTTCTGGCTTTTACTGTATTGCAAACATGGTAACACAAATGAGAACACAGGCTGGCAAAGCTGTGCATAGCAGGAAACCTACTGTCAGTTTTCGCTCACTGTTTAATGAACAGTGATAGAAGGGGGAAACAAAATTCTGAGAAAAGATTTAAGGGCTGCAATAACAAGACATTGTACACTTTAATTTAGAAAGTTAAATTGAATCATTCTCCATTCTCAATATATAATTTCTCATAATAGTTAGTCAGGCTCAGGAACAGTTCCATTTTGGTTTTCTGCCTAATAATGCCCATAGTCATAAGAAAATAATATTTAACTTCAGTGTTAAGCACTCATGATTACAGTACATCGATTTTTGTAAACTATCACACTCTCGAGTGACGTAAGCATGCTGGAAGCTCAGCTTTTCCACCCAACAGATACTCCCCTTTCCTTCCTCCTCCACCAGCCATTTAAAAACTAAACTTGGAATCAAATCTTTATGTGTGTAAATGCCAGAAGATACGTAAAGCAGAATCAAGAAAGCACATGGCTCGATACATTAAGGGAGGGAACAACTCTGTTTTGGGGGTTAGCAATTTTAAAACAGTTCTAATGTAGACTATTGATATAGACAAAAACAACCACTTTTTTCCCCTCTCATAAGTTATCACCATTGTCCGAGCAGATCTTTATTTTTCCTTTAGGAGTCCAAGCAGATGATATTTCGGGAATGTACGCGTGCAAGCTATACACTGCTAAGCCCACTGAGAAGACAGGGCTCTCTTTCAGCATCTTTACTGCCAAGATCAAGTACACAACTGGAAATGTTACCAAAATGCCTTGAATCCTCTGTTAGTAAAAGGCAAGGCAAGTGATTCCTTACTGTGAGTTATGTGAAAAGGTATTGTCTGTTAAATGGGGGGGGGGGGGGAATCACAAGGTGCTACTGCATTGACCCCATGTAGTAATTAGAACTTTTAAGAGCAATGCCACCATGTTAACAAGGCTTGTATTACCTTGCATTAGGAGAAGCAAAGCCCCTGTAGTGGTGCCTTTTAGACCCACTACGGTGTTAAATCTCAGCTCTTCAAGGCCACAGAAATAACGGAAGCTCTTCACACCCAGCAATAAGCCACTAATTAAAAAAGTGCCTGTTGTCTCCTTGAAGAGTAGATTCAGCTTGGCACCTCTCCAGCATCAGTGCTGACACAGCTAACCATCTCTAGCCACTTGCATACAAACAGTCCAACGTGTAAGCAGAGAACAGAAGACAAAAAAAATCCCCTATAGCTGCCAGGAGGGACAAGCTGCATTTTGTGATTACCGTAAGCAACTTGCACAAATGACTGCATACAAAAACCACAATGGAAACCAACATAAATCCTTACACTTAAGGAACTTTAATAGAATCCCTGGTTACTCTGATTATTTTTTGCTTTGGGGAGAATTGAAATTCGGTTTGCAAAGCCATTTAAGAAGTATTACTGATGTGAGATATATACTGCAAAAACACATAGCTCAGGGACTCAGACTCAGGGACTAATTAAATTATCTATAGCTCACCGGCTGCCATACATTATCTGATGAAAATCCTTTAAAAAAAAAAATTTAAAAAGTGGATATACCCTTGTCTTTAAGAAACACCAACACTTCAGAGCACAAAGCTCTATTCTATCAGTTCCATTTTCTTTTGCTCCAGCCAGTTTATTCATCTCTTTCTCATGAGAGGGCTTGCTTGACAATCAAGAGGCTCACCTGTTCCCTGCCTGATGACAAGAAGTAAGAAAGCATGGAGAGTTCAGGCACCTTTCACCACCGGGATGCAGACCTACTGCACAGTTCTGAACTATGGGAGAAAACCCCCATAGAAGACAGGTTTTCAAATTGCAGGCTACATTTGAAGGGGGAACCAGCATCATGGGGGACATCAGATACAAAGCAATTCCTTAGTGCAGACTGTATGTGCTGACTGAAAAGGAACACTCCAAATGTTCATGTTACAGCTTACCGTGCTGCATGCTGTGGTAGCTTCTTTTGACTATCCAGGTAACTCCTTTTTAATTAGTCCTTAAGGCAACATTTACAGCACTTAAGTTTCAGCTACTCAGCAAAGCAACAAAGGCAACAGGATGTTCTGACTAGAGAAGCACGTTGTGTGTGTTAATTTATGGTATCACCCTCCTCATCACTTCCTATCTTGGGGACGTGGTAGGTAATATGTGACAGGTCCCGGGAGCACTAGCACATTAAAACTTCACTAGAAGGAATGCTTCCATGAAGCAAAGCCAGTTTACCAAAACTCAGTGCAACACTTCAAAACTCACTCTCCGTGGAACATTAATTTTGTTATAGACTAGTTTACTATAAGCTGCACATTTCCTCTAAAAGACATGCTACGGCACTCTGCTACTGTCACCATTCTACCAGGCCTTGCTCTGAAATTAATCAGGAAAGATATTCAGAGTTGTAAACAGTTAGATGGAACAATCACAAAGAGAAAGCACCAATATGCCATTGAAAAAATAGAAGACAATTACTTTATATCTGTAAAAAGCAGGGGAAAGTCTTGTCTTGGTCAACCAGAGTCACAGGGGTTGGACAAGCCTTTAGCATTTGAGCCTTGTTCAGCCATGGCTACTTGGGAATTCATGATGCTAGACACGGCAGGTACACATAATCCTTCTAGCACTTCACCATGCTAAAGACTCTGCAGTGCCTGGTAATCTACAGTCCAACAAATACATCCAAATCGAATCTCAGGACAGCCCTGCAACTTTGCAGCAACACAACACCAAAATACTGCTGAATGGAGAGAAACTAAACTACCTGAATGCTGGAGTAAGATTTAGGGTCTCCTGATTTTAATAACCAAAGGAGATGCAGCACTAGCATCAACAACCCTGTCTTTTTCACAAAAAAAGATGTGCTTGCTGATGCGCTTTATGCCCAACTTAGAAAAAAGTTTAGTATTGTCACGTGAGTCCAAAGTGTACTTCTATTGTAAAAACGTGCACCTGCATAGAAGTTACTTTGGTTTTGCAATTTCTCATCTGGTTTACGCCTTTTTTGTCTTAAGCTTTGCCCAGAAGGTCCAATTAATACCAAAGAAACTATCTCATGAGGGACAGTGACCTCTGTACAGAAGAGAGCCTGAAGAACAGAAGAATTAAACAGTTGAGCGACAAAGAAAAATAGAGGAGCTCACCACTGGACTGGCCCGAGCAGAGCTGGCTCTTGAGGATGCCCGAGATCCTGAACCAAGGTAGCAGCTGTACTCGGAAGGCTGCCGCAGGTAAACCAAGAATAGCAAGCACAGAAAAAAGAAAAGCATTAGAATTAGGAAGGGAAGTGAGAGAGGATTTAGAGCATTACATCTGAAGTTAGTTACAAAAATGGTTACATGCAGCTGGACAAAGGAATAGCAGTGAAAGTCAGAGAACAGACACCTCAAACTGTTCATTCAAAAATTAAGGCAAGCAGTAATTCCAGTTGACGGACCAAGCAGAGTTTTAATTCAATTCTTAGAATGACAGAATACTAATTATTTATTTATATATCTTAAGATACCAGTCACAAGTAAGCAACTCGCACTCCCTACAAAAAAGGCTCAATCCCACTACTCTTCCAGAGCTGAGAGGTTCTCTGGTGAGCCTTCTTCCCATGTTTCCAACATTGTGCACATACAAAATTAATCCATTCTCCACAGGCCAAAGCAAGAAACATCCATCTACGTGGTGATTAAAGTAAAAACTGAGACCATCTCAGAGACTGAGCATCTCCTGCTTTTCCAGCACCTGCAGTCTTCATCTCCTGCCAGAGAAAGTATTTTAGTCCTTCTTAAAAGCAAACACGTAAGCAGTGATGCAGAACCAACAGGGCTGACTTGTTGCTGACAAGGACAAAGAATGCGTCTACACTGTTTTATTTTCAGAGGTTATAATGCAGTGGAAGTAGAGAAGAGAAATGAAAGTTTAAAGCATCAGGGAAAGAGAACTAAAATGTATTCTGGAAATACATTTTGGAATTACTCCCTCTATTTTCAGATTTCAGAGTAGCAATCCTGTATTTAGATTAACTTTATAGAAAGATACATAAGCACACATAAAAGAGAGGTTTTGATAAATTCAGAACAGAGATGATTTAAAGAAGTTTTTGAGGTTTATGAGAGATTATATTTTTCCCATTGCTACCACCTCAAGGCAATTGTGAATGTAGCCTTTGTAACAAAAAGAGGCATGTCAGTCTGTCAAATTTCACGTGCAAAAGCTTGTACCAACACAAGGGCAGAGGCAGTTCAGGGACAGGAACAAGCACGAAAAACTGCTCTTCTCAGCAGCTCAGAATATGCTGCTAATGACCCATATAAGTTTATTTTATAGACACTTAAAAATGTTTCTCAGATACAAAACCACTGAAATCTAAAGAATTATCCTACTTTTGAGATGCATGTACTCTGCCTTTTTTTAACGTTTCTTCTGTTAAGTTACCTGGCCGCTAAAGGAATCCCCTGGACTCCTCAGCTACAGAGACAGCCAGGTCTTCAGCAAGCTATTAGAGGACTGTTTCAGCATCATTAGTCACACTAACAAAGCAGCACAGTAGTAAATTAAAATTAAGTTTATAGTACTAATAAATGATAAGAGGGTAAGCTGGAAAGAACCCCAGCTACAGCAGAACCAGAAGCTTAGTTACTAACCACAAAGCATTACGTTCCAAGGTATACAGCCCTTAGCAAGCCCCTGAAGCAGGGCAGAACATGACCAAGCCACATCCCCTGATGCCTTACGTGAAGTGACACTGGCTTCATGTACCTGAACTACTGAGGCTTCATTTCAGAGACGAAAATACACAAAATTTAGAACTGTTGCACACAGTTTACAACTATTTTCAATCACAGCCACTTCAATTCCTAAGTTACAAACAAAAAGCACTGAAGTAAATATTTAGATTTTGTTTTCTTGTTAACTAGCTCTAGCACAGAAGCCTTGTGCCATCACTGGCATGTTATGTTTAATATAACAAGGATGTAGAATAAACTTGAAACACATGACAGGGAAAAAGTATAAGCTACTGGTGAATCCCATATTAATGCTTCACAGGACCTATTTATTCCATAGCTGCTCTCTGTGTATTGCAAGGCAGAATATGGAAGCAAGCGCCACCTGTTCAGCTGAGACCGAGCACGCCCAGTTTCAGCCTTGCCCCCTGCATTCACCTGTCCTCTAATCATCCAAAAACATTCTTTAGGGACAGCTACCCAAATGGCACACCCTCTACATGTTAAAAGTGCTACAAGGGTCAGAGACATTAAAGTAACCACAGATAACTTCGTAATTGTGACAAGGCCATTCCCTTTGTGGCAGGAACCTCATGCTTCAACTCTCTTATTACTACAGGTGACTGTGCAACGGAAACTGGAATGGCAGGGTTACACACAGACTTCCAAATACCTGTGGCACAGGGTGGGATGGGATGGAGGAAGGGGAACAAGCACCAGCATTTTATTCAGTGTTCCCTGCTCAAGCCATTAACAGTGGCTGAAAGACTTGTAAACAGCATTTGGGCTCAGAGCCCACTCTAAGTGATTTCTCCCAAGAGTAGAAATGTATTATCTGGACCTTTGAGAGGCTTCTCTCAAAGGAAGACATCCCGTACAAACAAAGGGCTACAACCAGCTCAGCACAGCCTCAATGGCAAATTCACTGCTGCTGCCACAACAGTCCAAACAGGTAAGTATCAATGAGTTTTCCAAGGCAGCCAAATGAAAACAAGGCACAACTGTGAAACAAAACATAATCTGAAGCTTAACATCAGTAGCAGCAAGATGCACAGCCCAACTAGCAAATCAGCATGATTGCAAGAGGATGGCATAGCCCTTTAAAGACCAATGAGCGCTTCGTAAGCATTCTTGAAAGTTGTTTCCTTCTCCAAGCTAATAAAATTGTAATTTTTAACATTCAATTAACATTGATGCTTTGTCTTGAGGCTTTTTTCTGTTCAGGTCTTGGGTGGTGGTTTTTTGCTTGTTAGGGGTTTTTGTGTGTGTTTGGGGTTTTTTTTTTTTGATAAACAGCAAAGCAGTTCAGAGGCAGTATAAGCACTGGGTCCACAAAGCAGAAATTAAAAAAAAAAAAAAAGACTGGTTAATTTTTTCCAGGCAGATAAAACAGCAGCAGATGTACTGCCTGGCCCAAACATCCACCATGACATAGAGGCCCCATCTGAGAAGAGGTGAAGGCGTCTCCTGCCTTCCAATCTGTAAGCCGAGTACTGCAGCCTCTCTTTTTTGAAAGGAAACAATTTATATTGTCATTCCTCATATTGCCTCTACCTGTGACAGGGCCATCCACTCACAGGAGCATATATTTTGAAAACATTGTCACAAGTTGCCTGAGACATCACTACAGAATCCAAGAAAAAAAAAAAAACAAAACAACGCAAGCCATACATTCACAACAATCCTTTACTTCATGCTAGCAGGTAAGTGCTAATGGGGAAGTGATTTTATTTATTAATAAAACCTGTTCCATTCTCAGTTTTCAAAAGAAGAAGTAAGTCTCAGTGAGGGAAGGGGCTTTATGTACCGCCTTTCCAAGGTGTATTACCTGCAAACCAAGTGCAAGGCAGAGCTGAATTCCCCTTGCCACAGGGGAGGCAAGTGCCTAGCGCCAGGCTCTGTCGAGGCCAGGCATTACAACAGCAGATAAATCACTACTAATTATTTCGTGGAAGCTCACAGAAACGGTGCTCGTACTCTTGCGTACAGCAGCAGGCTATGAATCTCACACAGGCCATCTTAAGTGTTCCTCAGCCCAGAAAAGGCTGTGTTCTGGTACACACAGTTTACTGGAGGACAGAAACAGGACAACAGGGAAATGCAGAAAACGTCTTACAGCACGAGAACTAGAGGCACTATACCGACGACTCCCACTGTAAACACTCTCGTCATACACAGATGCCTACAATTAAAAGACAGAGTCAGAACAGGACTGGCAGACCTAGTTTCTGATTTCAGTCTGGAGCATCACAAATTCACAAGGTGCAGCGCGAAGGACATAGGGGAATGAGCAGTATGTGCAAGGACAGGGACATCTGTACGCAACCACAGGCGACATGCAGGTGAAGATCTAACACAACCTGAAGTCAGTAAGCTGGGAAATGCCGTAAGGCACATGCAAAATCTGACATCCACCCCCTAGTCATGCATTTCTAACCGTTCTCCCAATCATCAATTCAACAGTTTATGTTGCCTTCCAACAAAACAGCTACATCAATTCTCATTGTCCAAATCTGTTTAACTTTCATTTCTGGTGCTGGCAAAATATGGGGGGGCGGGGAGAATCCCCACGCTTACACCTGATGAATTTCACTTACTAGCCAGTTTACCAATTAATAAAAAAGGAGGAAGATGCATATTCTAAGACTCTGGCTCTAGTTTAGCACATAAATGTCTGGCTCAGGAAACACAGGAAACTCTGCCTTTAAGCACTGAGAATAAAATCTGAGAGATGCTCATTTTAAAGGTTAAAAAAGAAGAGTGGAAATTGCCTACAAAAATGTTTTAAACAGAGTTTTGTTAGCTGTTACACAGCCAGAAAGAATTGATGTTGCCTATCTCTGGCCTGCTCCTGTATGTTGCAGCTAATAAATCAAAATGAAGACAACCGCCTCCATCCAGAGAGAAGCCTGTGGCAGTATCACAACCCCAGGAGCAGTGGTTGCACAGTTCCAACGGGAATAAAAGGAAGGACCAGCAAACCCAGGTCTGTACAAACAGCATTGCACACATGCATTCAGATGGATCAGACACCAAACTGTGAAATAAATGGACCCAACAGGAACTACAGAGGTAAGAGACAACATATGCATGGCTGAAGGTGAGTGGCTTTGGTATTTGTGTTTAGAGCATTAGTACAACAAACCCTGTAACTTCTGGCTGGCTGGGCATCGCTGTACAGCAAGGAGGGCTGAGGAAGACAAGCACAAAACTTTTTTGCATAGAAAATGAAACAAAGGTGCCTACAGCAGAATTAACCATCTTGATAAGATATTAGGATTATTAAACTACAACAGAAGGAAACCCAGTACAGAGGGTGTTAGTCATCTGCGCCATAAAAGCATTAGATTTCAACTCCCAAAGACTAAGAATACCAGGCAGACACGTGCATTTCCTACAGGAAGGGAGGACACAACTGTATGCAAAAGCAAAATGGTATAATTTAATTTTAGGTTGTTAAGTTGTTATTGTCTCACACACATTTGTGTATAGCAGCCAGAAATGGTGTTTCTCCTAACTTCAACCAAAGCCAGAAAAAGCTACATACAAAGACAGAAGTGTTGTCAGATATACGTTTTAAGTGTTTCACACATCTGAAAGATCATCTCTCATGTATTCTATTATTAAAAAAATGCAGAGAAAACCCAAGTAATTCAGGACAAAATTATGAGTAGTTAAGTCAGAGCACCATAAAACAAATGCCTTTGCTGTTAGTAATCATCATTCACAAGATGCAGCAATTAAGTTCACTGTATCTGTATCAATGTATCTGGCATAATTAGGTGCAAGAGATACTCCAGCAGTGGTCTCCAGCCCACAGCTTGCAGACAATGTGCTGCTGCAAGTCAGCCCGCTCATCTGCAGTGCCCCCAATCGCCCGCCACCACAGAGCACCAGGCAATCTCCTCGTGCTGCTCCCCGTCGGGCAGGACAGGCTGCAGACCACTGCTCAAGCACTGCTTTGCTAGCGCTGGACTTCCACCCGCAGAGGACAATCCAACCTCCAGGGTGATTTTGAAGCTTCAGTGATTTTCTTCTAGCAGTCTGTGAATTACTTGCTTGTAATTTCATTTTATACAGACTGGATTGTCTTAAGCTTGCTAGGCTGACATGGTCAGCAGAGAATTGCCTCAAACAGAATAGAGAACTTCAGATAATTAAGATTTCCCTTATTTTTTCCAGACCAGCTGAAGCCAAAAGCAAACAAAATAACTGTAGGAAAGGGAGGAGCAGCAAAGGAAAATGAATTGTGCTCATTTTAAAACAGCTTTCCATTACTCACTCCAATCTTAAAAGGTCTGTTTTGTTTTTGTTTTTTTAAGTTTTACTAAGAGCTACAGACAGTCTTGGCAATTGGTCCAAATTCCTTCCTAAGTACACGAGGTTGTATTATCCAAATGAAGTCAGAACAAGTCCAGGCCAGGTAAAGCCAGAGGGCAACAAACCCAGTTTCCATTTTGGGGAGAAGGTTGAGATGTGGAGGCATAGCCGCTGTTGTGAAGACCCAGATCAGAGTAGTAGGAAGCCTGCATTAATAGCAAACAAAAAAACCCGTTGATAACTCAGCTTCGTAACATGAAAGGCTAAATTCCTTTAAATAAGAAGCAAAAAGTAAATTAGGTGATTGCAAATAGCAAGGAGTCAAAGTGGTCTTTGCAAAAAGAAGAAATAACTGCATTAAGGAAACTGCATTAGACATAGGAGGATGTGTGAAAATTGTGTGCCTTTTCCATTTGTAAGACAAAGATTTTTTTAAATAAACAAAAGCCCTTTCCTTTATCCCTACAGCACCTTACACACAGAATACACATTTTGTTTATTTTCTACTGAAAAGGCTTCAAACCCTCACACCCCCTCCTCCCTTCTTAATGCTATGACCCAGCATGACAGTATCCTGCAAAGACATGGTTTGTATGGGACTTGGAAGAAGATGGACCCCATTTCCCAAAGCTCATGCACCTAAGTTTCATCCTAACTCTAGTTAAGTGAAGCTGTATTTATCAACATACTTCCAGCTTCTGTAAAACAGAACAGACATCTGTTTCACAAGATGCTGGAAATGGTAGCTTCCAGCTCAAACTCAGAATGAATGGCGGCATCACAGCTTCATACCTAAAAACCCAGGCTCCTGCTTTACAGGACTTATTTCTTTGCACGTGCAGTCCCACCACTGCGGACAATAGAGTAGATTGCCACGCCCATCAAGCACTGGAAAAACATATTGGTCAGAGAGTAGGTCAGCTTCCTTCTGAGCTCTTGCGGAGTTTATAACCTGTAAGCTAAACCCACAAGAGATGCAGGAGAAGGTGTCAGGACAACTCTGCTGGGAGACAGAGAGCAAAGCCAGGGACCAAAACTGTTGGGTGTGCCCATCAGGAAAAGTGAGCAGCCCACTGTCAGATATGGCAAGACTGAATGCAAAGAAAAAACTTCTGTAAGAAGTAAGACTGCCTAAATTAAATACCTGCTTTTATGCAGCTTCCTACCTAGCATCTAGCCAACCTTGCACTTTCGGTCCACCTATTTGGTCTCCCCAAGAGTGGGAAGATCTTAATTCAACTCCAAGTTAAATACCAAAAGTACCAATAGTGAGTGACGGACAACTCCAGTGGACTTAAAATCACCCTTACCCTCCAAAATACTACTTTATTTATCTAGTGTGATATACAGCACCTCCATTCATTTCCCCCAGCACCTGTACTGGAGCATAGGATGCCAGCTCAGCTTTTCTGCTGTTGTCTATTATCTGTGAGAATTTCCGCTGCACAAACCCTTCAACACAAAGCTGGAACGCAGGGCTTGACAGGGTGCAGGAAGGCTGACAGCAGCAGGATATTTATAATACTGAGTTGAACTCATTATTTTGGCTTCCCAAAAGCTTTAGAAGCACGCAACAATATATAATGAACAACTTAAATTGTTATAAACAGCTGTTTTTAAGATACAGGGATATTTTAATTTGCAAATCAAGGTCTGTTTTCAATGCAGATTGGAAATCCATATATAAGACATTATGCATCTCAAAGCCAAAGGAATCAAGAAAAATACAGGCATACTAGGAAGACACTGTATTTTCCTTCTTTTCTGAAAAACAGCAGCCTAAAAGCACATGTAAAATGTGATAAAATAGGTAGTCTGCCGCAGCAGGGACAGATGCAGCCCCGAGCCAAGCAGGCAGGGTTTAAAGCCACACCAGGAAGGCAGGCTTAGGAGCGAGCACAGGCTGCTGCAGCCAGCGTGCAGGTGAGGGAGGAAACGCTACCTCCCTGCATACCCGCCCTTGTGAAATGACTTCTGTGCTCGCTCAAGTCTCCTGTAACTAGCCCTGCAACAACACACGAGTTGCAAAGGTATTTTCAAAGACCTCCTAGGCACTGTTTAGATTCCTTCTTTTCCCATGGATGCGTGCACACTGGTGGGAATGGTTGCTCTGAAAGAGCTCCACACCTTCTTTGCTATACTCCAGCACCTCCCTTTACAGCTGTTCTCTAACATCCTGCTTCTCTGGTCATTTCTTACGGAGGTCTAGATAACCAAGATACTCTGCTTCTAGCAGTCAGCAATTACTCAGCTTTCTGACAAGCCTTAACTAGTAATTGCATCATCACTATAAACTATGTAGGTGTTAACTCAATTTACAAATGAGGGAGATCTGTGGCAAATTAAAAAGAAACTTGTTTGTTCTTGACACTGAACTTCTGTCACTGCAGGCAAACAGATCTGTGGATAAGACACAACACCCACAGGTATATACTGAGGATAAATCATTGTCCAACCTCAAAAGTTTAGCTCCCTTTCTGCCTCACTCTTCCTGAATGCCAGTAAAAAAAGACTTTCACTGAAAATAAAACTGAATAAACTGAACTGAGCTTAAAGAAATTACTTTCATTCCCACTTAGGGAGTTTGTAATCCACACATGGACTACTTAGGCACACGGCATTATTAACTTTTAAGGAATCAACCTGTGATATTGCAAGTACAGCGTACAGAGGCTGATCTCCGTGTGGACATCACTCCATTTTGCAACTTAAAATTGGACGCCTATTCTGGAAACAACTACTTTATCAGCAGACTCATCACTTCCTGACCTGAAGAACCCTGCCTCTCTTCTGTTTTTTGTTGTCACTTTGGCAATCTTTACAGTTAGGTTTGGGGTTTTTGGAGAGAGTATTCCTAAAGGTGAACGGAAGCTGGACTGGCATCAACTAGTTTTGGAGTATCAGCTACTCCAAGTCCCCACCAAACTCTCATTCCCCTTCTAAATAATGATTAATCTGAATTACACTTAGTAATGAAAACAGCAAGAAACTAATGATGTTGCTGTAATTATGCTCTACATACACTAAACCTCCATGCTACAAACCCCAATACCAAGATGATTTTAAATTATTTAAATGGAAACCAAATAAATTCTTTTCCCTGGATGACTTTCTTACAGATATTTTGCTTTTCCTGCAGTACTTGGAGCTCTGGAGTATGTCATTAAAAAATAAGAACATCATTTGTCAGAAGCACTACATAACAAAGTTCCTCAAAACTGTCAAGTGGTTCAGCAAGAGTGCCAACAACAGGATATACTGTTTTCTTAACAGTTTAAGCATCGGTATTTAATTTTCTCTTATCCACATATACAAGCTAAATGCATAAAACCATATGGAAGCAACAATTTAAAATGGCCATGAAATACAAGATCCCATTTCACCACTTATACAAGCGCCTGCTTAACTTCATGCTTACAAAGTAACTCACTGAAGCCTATCCCATGTTGAGCAAGTATTGCTCAAACACTTAGCTAAATGGAGTCTTAAAAGTAGTTTATTTTTCCCCTAAACATAGAGCTTTAGTCTGCATACCACTAAATTTCTTTAGAAGCCTTGATAGCATAAAGATCAACAGGCTCTGAGCTTTTGTCTGCCTTTGTTAAAATAAAGGCAAGGAAAAAAAAAACACCACCAAACAGTTCGCCTCCCTGCCCCCCAAAGTCGCTCTGCTTGATACAATACCTTTAAATAATTTGCACAAACCCCAATATTTAACAAAGCAGGACAATTAATTCCTATAATTGACACAAAACACTTGTGCTGGAACAGAAGGGAACACTGTGACCCACATACACACAATGGAGTTAGTAATTAAGCTTTTTTTGCAAGACTATTTCTAGAAATAAAAGTACATGAATGGTAAGTAGCTAAGTAGTAACGCACTGGCTGTTCACCTCTGTGGAAGTTTCCAGAAACCTTAGGATACAGTTTATAAAGGACAAAAAAAGCATTTAGTTAAGCAAACTTCAAATAAACAACATACATTTGGGGAAAATTCAAAATCCAAAGTCCATTCTACATATGCAAGTCTCAAGACATAGACTAAATTCTAGGTGAAGCTTGGGAGTTTCAGTGTTAGAGCATGACGTGAACACGTTGCACAGGCTGGAAAACAATTGTTCTGTTGTCCAGCACGTGGAAATCCTCCACGCCAGGTGCTGCCAAACTATTTCTTGTCACAATTTAACTTTTACCCAATTTTGTTTACAAGCTAAACAGTTCTGGGTTCCAAGTTCTACTTGTACCAAATTCAGAGACATGTGGGGTTGGGTGGTTTGGGTTTTTTTTTTTTTTTTTTGGGGGGGGGGGTTGGTTCTTTAAGACAGCTTATTGCTGCACCTCTGCATCTGACAAACTGCAAAACACACAATATGCAAGACAGGAAAAACCTGCTTTACCACAGAAAAGAATTTGCTCATTAGCTTTAATCCCATTACATAGAGCAATAGATTTTATAGCAATATAAATCATCTACTAACCCTGCTAGACTTTCTACTCTGGGATGATCCATACACGTCTTCCTCATAACCATTGGTCTGTTATGGAAGGAAAAGAAAAAGAAAAAGAAAAAAAAGAGAAAAAAATTGACACAGACCCAAAAGGGAATTTTTAGCAAAAGTCATCACTTACAAAAAGCAAAGGCAGAGACAGAACTTTTCACAGATACACCAGGAACAGGAGAAGTGCAGGATTAGGTCATGATTTCAAACATGAGGACATGAACATTTGTGTGTCTGCCAGTGCCTGTGTACCAGCCAAAAACGTCAAGGATACTGCTGCTTGCCTTTTTCGACCCTTTTTTTTGTTTTTCTTTTGAGGAACACTTTTGCTTCCCCTGTTATTACTGCACTATAGCACCTGCCTGTTCAAATGCTCTCTGAAGGGAACACAGGACAAAAAGGGGGCACTAAAGATGAGAATACAATAAAAGAAGTTTATCACTGTAGTTACTTACACCTCTGGCAGCTAAGCAATTAAAAAGCAGTAAATTGTAGCAAAATAATTAATTCTAAGAGAGAAACTGAGAAATTCAGTTTAGTAAACATGCAATGCTGTACGAAATCTCTTCTTTTTAGCTTTCCCCAGTTACATCAAAATTAAACCCAGACCGTGACCATCTGCCACATCCCAGTATTTTGTGTGGCAGTCCAGAGACTAACAAGAGATTTCAGTGGGTTCAGCTGTGCTCTGTCATGCTCAATAGCCTGCCTTGTCATTAAGGTGTTTTCTTTCAAAGGAGAAAAAACAAACAGGCTCAGAACAAGGGTTTCACAAGAAGGGTGAGGTGCTTCAAGTCCCTATGGCAGCAGGGTCAGGAATAAAGTGAAATGATCACTATTACGATGCAGTTTTTAGTCTGGAAACATGATGTTGAAGAAAAGAGGATAGACCCAAAAGTCACCTCAATCAATACCATTAGAAGTTCAGATTTCTCAATCAATTCACAATGCGGCCTGGTTTAACATCGAAAATGAGGAAGCACCCTGTGTATTTGGGGTGGGCTTTTTTAGTGGAAATTTAATTAGAATTTCTATTCAAATTAAGCTTTGAAGTCCAAGTTTTAATGCATTCACAAAATCAAAATCCACTAAATGCAATCTGAATCAGTTTCCAAGCAAAATATTTATCATCTACTATACAGTGGCTTCCATGAAAAATTAAACAAATTAACTTCAAAACTAGTTTAGACCCAAGCTGGTAAAGCAACTTCTGGGAAAAGCTTAGATTCTCTACTGAAATGCAATATGATCACCACAAACGGAGGGCCAACATCCAGTTTCTTTTTTCAAGAAGAACTGATTTGAAACACTGCTATAGCCTTCTCATACAGTTTGGGTTCTTTCCTGGTTTTACTAGGTTTTTTTCAGGCTCCTTGAAATCCTCTACCATTTTCCTGAAGAATGGTTAAAATTAATCTTCAGCAACTGAAGCCAACAATCCAGCTGCAGGCTCAATAGCACCATACAGACCAATTACCTCCACTGCCCCTTTCATTACTACACACATGAATTAAGTTTGCCTTTTTTCAGCAAGGTAATACTGACTAAATGTAACCTCAGATCATTATCTGAACCATTCCTGTGCAGAATTCCTTACTTTGCAATAGTGTATTTCATTTTTCTCAAATGTGGTATTCCTCATTTATTTTTACTATTACTCAGTTTTGACAAGTTGTCTCCTATTCATCATCAGTATTTTTATTCTTGCATGCATTCTTGCATAACCTTGCACGAAACTGCCTTCACTCCCTGTACTTAGACAGCTAGGCAATACAGACTTCTGTAGAACTGCTCTCCCCTTTAAAAACAGATGATGCTGTCTTAGATGGGAATAGACCAGATGAGATCCTTTCCAGCTGTCTCATTTTCTAACAGAGTTATTTCTCAACTAACTGTGCATTTCTTTTACAAAAACTTGATCTTGCCCAAGGTTTCATTTAATGTCACGTAGAGACATGCCAAGAGCCTTATAGTCAAGTTATAGTCACATATAATGCTTTTCCTTTACGCCCTTAAATAATTACCCTGCTTAGGGAAATTAAGTTGAATTGTCATGATTCATTTTCCACAAACCCAGGTGAAGTGTTTGTCACTTTATATTTCAGACACTTCTAAATGTATCTGATTTGCCCTGTATCTTTCAGATTTCAAGCCAAAGCCCCATAGGTCAGGTCATTTCCCTTGTCACTATGACCCATCCTCTCCAGAGACTTCACCAGTGCATATTTTTGAAGGCAAATGCTCCAGACAGCTCCTGACGAGCAGGGTCAATTTTATCAGACCTCGCTGACCTTTGTTCTATGCTATGTTAACATACTAAGCATCTGATCATAAGCTTCACAAAAACTGGAACAAATAAAATTGTATACTGGGGAGGCTGAAATACTCAGATTGTACGTGTTCTCCCTTCATAATTATGCAATTGACCCTATTCTTTTCTGTGTTTTCCTCTTGCTTTTAATGGATGCAGAAAACTTTCTCATTGCCATTATATCCATTTATACTTGCGACACTTTTTACCTTAGACTGTGGCTAATAGTGCTCCTTCAGGCTTCTTTCTCAATCCCACATCCAGCTTCTGCTTCTCAGAAAATTCTCTGCTGATGTACTGAAGAACCCCAACCCAGCCTGGCAACCTCTTTCTGCAATGAGTAGCCTTCCCTCCACAGCACCAGCAGACCACTCTGCCCGCTCTTGTGTACTCTTTCACTCCCTGGAGTTGCTCCCCATGAGATTCAGCTAAAATCCTCACCATGTGAAAGCACATTACACTTCACCTTCAATCCAGGTTTGGCCTTGAAGTGCTCTAAGTAGTGCCTGACTTGTACAGGTGCTAGTAACGCATTGATACTATGCAGAACTACCTTTATGAAAAGATGCAGCCTTTACTACATATATATTCGATTTACACTACCTTTATGAAAAGATACAGCCTTTACTACATATATAGTCTATCAGTATTACCTATTTCTGTGTAATATTAAAGCTCAAGTTAGGTTTTGAGTTTTTCAAGATGCTTTTTAGGTACAACACTGAGGTAAGTGTTGGATTATACCACATTTTGCAGATGAAGTGATACTTAATATTCTTGCAGACCTAACAAGTCCTGATAGTTACACCACATCCTTGACATCAGGCTGGTGAGCCTTTGCAGCCAACATACTTGCACATATTCTCCTGTCCTCTCACAGTGGTTTTGTATGCAAAAACCTCTTTGAGACACGTTACTCAAGATACATACTGCTTTGGAGTAGTTCTTCTTTTTGGTCCTCTCATTCTCTAATCCAGCCTGCAGTGAGATTAAGAATGCAGGATGAAAAGATCAATGAGTTTTTGTGCACTCATCCACAGCCAGGCATGCATATCAACATGCAAAAACATCAGTCCAATCTTCTTCCATGTCTACACAACACTGCTCAGTAAGCACACATAAAAAAAATCAAATCTCAAAGTCAAATGACCAGTTATTAAAGAATATTGTTAAAAGTGATGATAGGACTGTTAAATTTAGTAGCCACACTTAAAATCACTCACACTTGCTGGGTTAAGTCAATTAAAAGAGCTACCAGCTGTCTATGCTTACTACATCAATACATTCTTGCAAAATCCAAATGTGTTTGAACTATTTCTGTATATAGGTCACTCACAAATAGATACATTGCACTCCTAATTTGAAATAGCACAGGGAACGAAGGGGAGTGAAAAAGCTAGAGTCTATAAAACTGCTTCCCACAGTTTGCTTTCTGCAGAAACTGACACCTCTATTTCAACACAGCGCTACCACAAGACAGCACTGTTAAGAGTACAAGGAAATTTTTTAAACTGAGCTTAAAGTCCCAGTCCTCATTCTCCCTTCCGTGCCCTTTCTGTTCTTCCAAGAGTCAGCTTTATCTCAATGTGTTCAATGCAAATACTTGTTCCTGTCTTCTTATTACCTACAGAGTTTGATTTTATCCTCCAAAGCAAAGGTAACAGCTCAATACACTAGCTGCAGCTTTGGTAGGCAGCGTATTTGTCCTGTCACCTTTGCCAGGTCTATTCAGAGTGAGTTTGTGAGAGTTTTTTTCCTTTCCAGATTTATGCCGAAATAAAACCAGATGTACCTGGTCAAATGATGGACAGACTGTAACAGAAAAAGTCTGTTCAGGGAAACAAAAGCTATTCTGCTCTGTCCTATGATAACTACTGAACTAGACCTACGTTAGAGCTCTCTAATCATTCAGCACTTTTCATCTGAACTGCGTCAGAGCAGCAGGCAGGGAAGTAGCATCTTTACATCACAGACCACAAAGTGCCTCAGGATCATTTTAGATCATCCCTTATCTCAGATCAGCTATCGCAATTGAGGTTAGCTGCTTCTTCATGATTAGTTTTTAAACACACACTGCAACTTGCAGAATATTCTCACCACTGGGTAGGTGCTTGCATATTCCAAATGAGACTGTCAGGGCATGAGAGGAAAGAAAAATCAGAATACAAAAGAAAACACTGAAGCAAGTTATGGCAATCAAAAGAATCCGCCAAAACAAAACAAGCAAACAAACAAAAAAACAAAACCAAAAAAAACCAAACAGAGAGATGTAAATCCCACCTACAGAACTTTGATAATGCAGGACTTCTTGCACAAAGCCAGGAGTCAGGAACTTTGTCAAGCGAACAGAACAAGGAAAATGCACCAACTCCATCACGAGTGATTAATAACACAACAGTATTTCATGCTGGATGATCTCAGATTAGAGACAGCCAGCTGTGAAGTGGGAGAAGGACACCTGCAGTAGAAAAGAGACTGAAGAGAAGCTCAAGTTTCTCAACAAACCCAGGATGATGTTACTGGGCTTCCCTAGGAAAAAACTGTGTGATAAAGAACCAAGCTGCAGAACTTCTGAAACAAGAGAGGCAGAACACTTTGATGGGTTCAGGATGTGCCACAGAAAAGCTAAAGATGCCCCTTCATCACAGCTGAAGGTCTGCCTGCAGGAGGTGGACATATACTCAAGCTAGCACTATATCAACACACTAGGCCGCTGTTTGCAGTATAGTCACAGCTGTGGAGCTTAAATCAGTTTGCTAGCCAGGTCTAATCCACATCTCAGGTGGTTTTACAGTCCATGTTGATGGTTGCTCTGCCAGAAGCATCCAGGCCAGCTCCCCAAAAGTTAGCTCAGCAGATCTCTGGTGCCTGCAGTTCAGACATCCACTTAGAAAATATTCCAGGAAAAAATCGAGAGTAAAACCCACACAGATTAGTAGGGTGGTAAAGTTTTAGGGAGAAATACATTTCTGATATTGGCTCATTTAATTGAAAACTTTCTGTACAGAAAAGAAGCATAGCTTCAAAAAGCAACCCCTAACACCATCAGCCCTCCACAGTGCAATGAGCCTGACTGCCAAAGACGTAACATCAATTTTCAGAAAATGGAAGTCTTGTAGACCAATTACAATGGCATCCTGCAACTATGGAAGGAGCCTTCAAATATCCAAAAAAAAGAGATGACTGACTACGTTTATAAATCCTTTGTGGACACAAGGCAATATTTTTGGTGCTTTCTTCACACTAAAATAGCTCAGAAGCCAAACTGAACTCTAGTCCTTAGAGGTAATTTTTTAGGGTTTTTTTAGGATTTTTTTTTTTACTTTGTTGCTTTGAAGAGACACACAGCAAGAGCCAAACCCTCAGAAATAGCCAGAGAGAGATGTGGTCAAACTATTAAAAGCATCTACTTTAAGCCCACGCTAGGAAAATGATCAATGTATGTTCTATCAATTCATTGTGAATAAAACAACTAGAAGATGTATAAGGGTCAATTTCAGTTCAGACTAGCAAACATTTTCTTTCTTCTACAATCCCAGTGACACTTGGATCGGGGAAGGAAGCTCTGTCAAAACTCTTTTCCTGTGTATGCCCAAGTGTCAGCTTACATAAGAATATTCACCAAACGCTACTTTATGATGTCTGTGCAACATCACTAGAAACACCAGGGTGAAAAGTTTCTACCACATCCTTCTGTCAGAAAAGGATATTCTTTGCAAAAGTATTAGGTATTTATGGGCCATCCCATAAACCATCTGGAGACCACTGTTCACCAGACCAGCAGCAGTTATTGCAGCCTGAAGGCACGCTGGCAGCCCAGAGACTGGCTGCTCTGGGGAAAAAAGGGGTCAGAAAAGCTTCTTCTCAAGGGATGGTGAGGAAACAGAATGCAAGGCTTCTACTGTTTAAATACAGAACAATAAAATGCAGGATCATATTACAAAAACACATCAAAAGGAATCAGTAGTGGGTTTCCATGAACAGAAGGTATTTCAGATGAACAGGGCTCCTGCTATAAATACAGTGCCAGTGTACTTGCATGTGGCCGTATCAAGGGACACGCTGTTATAGCCACAGTTAAACAACCTATTTGTATTGTAATCACCTTCTAAATAGAAAGAATTGACATTTCAACTGATCTAGAGATTTTTCCCCTCCAAAACACACTTTCATAGACATGTCCAAGTTTAAGTAAAATAAACATCGGTTTTCACATTGAGCTATGAAGATAAGCTTTTCTTTGTTGAATCTTTGGAGTTTTAAGGCACCTTCTACCTTGGAAAAGCAATTGAATAAGTTTGAAGTCTTAAAGATTTTAACAGCATTTCATAAGTAGTAATAAGGATTCCACTAAAAAGGGAACAAGGCAACACTTAAAATTAAGTACATCTTACGCTATCTTACAGTGATCTCCGTTAGGAATCATTGAGCAGGCTCTGCAGTAGTAACTCCCCCCACCACCATCTTCCAGAACTCTTCTAGAGGCATATGAGGCGTTTTACTCAGTCCTGTTCCTTGGTGGATACTTTGTCAGGAAAAAAAGCTAGTTCTAGCCTAGATAGTTACTAGCAAGTTTTTTAAGGAGGAAAAAAACAGTAATTGTATGACATGAAATCTCCAAAGAAGCCAGAAACCAAGGATTACAAATAAAGATCCTGCTATGAATGATACAGGTCTTTCTTGTTCTATAAAAATACAAATGATCATCCAGCTTAACCACAGAACTAGCACTACTTATGAGTTAGGAACAATATCTGTAGAAGAACAAATTCTTCTCAAACACAACCTTTTTCAACACAAATGACTCCAAACACAAACTGGTCACAGCTGAATCAGGGTCAGGACTGCCGAGAGCTGCCTCCATAGCGCTGTTATGGATTGTTTCAGTTTTGTGGTTAGCTGAATGCTTCTCCATAGGTCTCAGAAGCAGTAAGCTCTGATCATCTTCTGAAGACTATCAACACATGCTGAGACAGTAGCATTAGCCATTCACAACTACTAAATTGCTTAAACTGTCTTCGCAATTACAAGAGCTAATTACATCTATGCTAGAATGGAGTTAAGATTCACACAGGTGTATTATCTGGAAAAAATACTGTATGGATATTTTGAGGAAAAAAATGAACTTTTTCTATAGATGAGTACTGGTGCACTACAGCACTCTGCTCTACTAATCGCTCCCTCCACAAAACTCAAGTCTGCAGATTAATTTCAAGCATCTCTAAAGCAGCTCTGAGGAGAGCGTTCACATGCAATTCCACAGCACTCAAGACTCATTTTCACTGATAATTTACTTTTGGTTTCCTGAGCTAAACATTGATCATGCAGTAAGCTAGCACTTTCTCTTCCCAAATTCTCAATATCAGTAATGAAACAGGGGAACTTACAGGTGCATACAAGAAAAAACTGCATATACTAATGTTTTGGCTAAGTACTTCCTGCAGCAGTAACGGAGAACAGCATTTACCAGAAAGGTTTCTACAGAGTCGCATGCTCTGCTGGTGTTCCTGCACCGTGCATACAAATCTGACAATTCCCCTGGTTGAAAGAATTATTGACCTACATGTACTTGGGGGGGGGGGGAGACCACAAACAAACCCATATGCCTTGAACATAGAACACGTCAAGACCTTGGAAGGGCATTATCAGAGTACTATAACCAGGCTGGTGGTACAGGGGGACAGCAACATCAGTACACACACATGCACACTTAAATTGTACAATTTACCAACCCTCAGGCTTCCACGGCTACCCACTGACATGCGCTCATCTTCATCCGAAGCCTATCAAAAGAAAGTATAAAGACAAGAAAACAATGAAAAGAACACAAGTAACAGGCAGTGAGGTAAATGCCAATGGCTTTGATGGTACAGAAAGAAAGAAAAGACATACAAAATAAATATCTTTAAAAAAGAATTGCATTAAAACTATAAGCAGAAAGTAAATTAAATCATACCCTGACCAAGAAACGCTGTCAGGCATTTCACTACAGGACAAATGACAACCTTGCTATGCTCTTGGCCCACTGTCTGAATAAACAAACATTAAACATTCCAAGCAGGTTATTTCCCCACCTTCCACCCCCTGCCCCCCTTTATTCTAGCACATTTGCAAAAGCTCCCCGGAGTGACTGGAGAGAGGGGCAGAGAAGTCAGGAAGTGGCTTTGGTGTTTTCACTTGCCTGGGGTGGGGGGGGGCTTGTTTTTTCTTTTAAAAAGGAACTGCCTTATACATGCCTGTTTTCTTAATTTGAAGTGTCTAGCTAAAAAGAAAAAGCAAAAGTAGATACTAACCGAGGCATTTCTTCGGGCTCTACGGGAGTAACGCTCACTGTCTTCCTACCAAGGCAGCAAGGAAAAAAAAAAAAAAAAAAGAGTGAAGTGTTGAAAGGACAGATACACCAACAGAGCGCTATCAGAAAGACACAGTGAACTTGAGCAATGTATAGGAGTCAGCAAGGTTAAACCAAACAATGGAAGGTGACACCCTGTCAAGTCAGAAAAACCCTTTTGCCCTCATTTGTGACCCCAACTTTCTTACCCTCTGTTTTATTCTGCTACACACTTTTATTACTTTTGCAGAAAACTGTATGCAGTGATGCCCTTATTACTATCTCAAAAAAAATGTTTCAAGTGCATCTCTCTACATCTGGGAATCAGTATACTTACAGTGCTTTTGTAATTAAGCTTTCCAGTTTGCAGTCCTTCACAATAAATCTCAAGAATCTTCTATTTGAAATAAGGTGGCAGGGCAATGGTCTCTCTCTAGTGAGTATCCCAGAGGGGCACAGCCTGGCCCCTTGCTTCAGACCAAAAGCACCTGTGCTCTGCAACACACCAGCATCACTGCCTTTTGCAGGCCAAAGGCTGTGTTAATGCTGGAAATGCTGTAGGATGTATTATGTTTCAACAAACTGATTTTAACAAACTGATTTTACAGGGAGTTTAGAAACAGTGATAGAACACAGGAGGGGTAAAAAAAAAAGTTTCAATGCTGTAGTTAATGGTTCTCACAGGTGAACTGATTTCTAAGCAAGGGCATTGCTAGTAAGGTGGAGCTAAGCTCACCAAGCAAGGATTTGAAGAGACTTAATAGTTTATCCATGAGATTGGAGCATCTTGGGTGGATGGTTGGTCCATATGGCAGCAGGCTTTCAAGAAGGCACAGAGCAAACCAGCATTTATGCCCATTAATTATCAAGGGTCAAGGAAGCCAGGGAGTTTGAAAAGTTATTTTCCACACTGGAAGTCAGATGTTTGGTTTTGCCTTTTTCAGTGTGCACTTCTCAGCTTGTAGGGCAAGGCCACAAACAACAGTTTTCATCTGGCATCATTAGTAAGTTTATGAAATCACTTATGTTTGAAAGACATTTGAAGCCACTGGCTTCCAGCCCTTTAGCAACTTCTTCATCTTATATAATGGGTGTTAAAACAGTCCGATGTTGCTAATGGACAAGTCTATATCTGGTATCAACTTCACTGGCTTAGCTAATGGTAAAATCCAGTACGTTGCATTTCTGGAAAAAGCAAGCATTGGCACCGTAGCAGTAATAATGCATGTGAACAGTGCCCCTGGACCAGTAAGTAGAAGTAACTGAAGCAGCATGGATAAAACTTGCCCAAAATCTAACTGAAGACAGATGTGAGAAGACTCAAATTGTAACAAAATCCACAAGAAGCAAAATGAGTACGTAGATTCCTTGTGTCACAGCTGGCTTTATTGGGTCTATATGCTAAACTAATCTTCAAGTGACAGGGTGGAGACAGAGGTCTGTAAAAAGAGATGGCTCAACCAAACCCTTGCCAGTTTTAAGCTGATCGTAAGCCACATTTCAGGTATTGATGTGGACTGCAAGAATCCTTGTGATAGGAGTGGAATTCATGTTTCCAATACATGAAAATGCCTACTTTGTGGTATTTCAAACTCTATGAACTATACAAAACTTCAACATGTAAAAGTTGCTTAGCTACATTGATTGAGGCCTACCATCCATTGCTCGATGTCTCCCCATTTAGTATCCAGACCATAATATTTCTACAGACAGAAAAAGGAAAAAACAGAATTTAGATGAGAAAGGCAAACACCCAACATTTAGATATGCACTGCCAGGTTTTGGCCAAGCCACACAGCTACACACACACAAACATGCCAGGGAAAAGCTGTGCTGAGTGCCCCCAGAGCCCTCTGCAGCACGTGCCCAGGAAAAGCTGCCTGGCAAGGGAAAAGGGGTGTTTGGGGTATGGCCAGGGTACTCGGCAGCTTCTTCTTTCCCAGCAGTGCAAACAAAACCAGTGCTGTGGGGACAGGACCAAGGAGTGTAATGAGTCTTGAATTCCTGACCCATTTAAGTCAAGTCTCATTACAAGTGATCTGAACACAGAACACTTTCAGGATGAAAAATGCTGTCAAATCATGTTTACCATATAGATTTGCCAAAATTGGAAGACAAGCTGAATACAATACAACTAATCTCCATGCATTCTTGTTTGCTGTATTCAGAACTTCCCAGTGCTCCTTTTCAGAGCATGAGGCTTTTTGCCTACACTTCAACTGCCTTGGCAGTATCACCAACAAGGATAGAAGAAGACATGCTTCACCAATGCAGGCAAGACTGGAAAGCTCTCTGCATTTCAGTACCAAATGCCATGCATTTTCTTAGTAGACTGCCTCTTCTGAACCACTTCTCAGTTCATAATTTCTCTGCACAACATTGGGAACTTTCCAATGAACTTGCATTTCCACCAGACAGCAAATTTTTCAAAGATCCGCAAGTTTAGCAGGACTCTTCTTCCTCCCCAAATACACACTTCAAATCTAGTCTCAGGAAGTTTGCATTTATAATGGTGACCATAACATTCCTGTGTGAAGAAAAATCACCAGCCTAGAGCACAGTAGTTGGCAAATGGAAATCCTGCTTAAGGAAGCATAATAAGTATTTTAGAAAAAATTAGATTATTTGCTTTGAGGTTCATGTATTTGTGGAAAAAACAAGCCTGTACTTGCCAGCTTTCCTAGAGGCTTGAGGAGGCAGGAGTATCAACAGTCAAAACCTTAGGTAACAATCAAAAAAAAAAATCAGAAACCTGTTCTATATTATACTCTGCATTTAGCACTCGCTCAATGGTATTAATGTAATTTTACTTTCACCCTTAAAACCCTCATTCACTATTTATTAATAAACTAAACAAACAACTGTGTGTTCTTTGATACTGTATCAGTTTATTCCCACTTCAGAGTTCTTCCTCATTGAACAACAAAATTATTTTCATGCTAAGGTCATCTTCATTTTCATCTTAACAGGTCTGGAGAGAAGAAAATCTGTTATGAAGTAGAATAGGCAGCAGGGTACTTAATTATACATCCTGAATAGCCCAAACTGTACAAGGATCTTTAAATACTGTCACTTTTGGGGTCAAATTGGGAAAAGGCAGGAGCTCACAGCAATCCCATTTTCTAATATTCTTCCTAATAAGTAAGTTTTTAGGCCAGTAATTTGAAAACAGGAAATAAATTCACTGCATTGCAGATTTAAGTACTATGCAAACATCTCTCTGGAACAAGGAAAAGAAACAACAGTTCAACAAGCTCTTTAACCACATCCCTATGAGAACAGGGAAGCATTCCCCTCTGCTTTCCCTGCAAAGCTTCTCAGTGTATGCTCAAATACATCTAACACCCCTATACAATGCCTAGCCAAATTAGACACAAGTGAAATTTCTCCTAAATTAGAGTGAATGACATGAACCATTGTTTCTTCAAGCATTACACACTTCCTCACAAGTGCTCAGACTAGTTACTTCCAGGCAGATGCATAACATGTACAGCAGCCTGTTATAAAAATCACATTTTATGAACATCGCATCCTGAAAATGACCCCTGAAAATTATATGAACTCCAGCCAGTCAAGACTGTGTACATGATCAGAACCTACAGATTATATGCTTTGTAGTACATCAGGTCAGGTAAGGCCTTATTAGAGGCTTCTTCCTCCCCCTAAGAGATGTATAACATTTTCTAACACTAGAAATCAATTTAAAAATACTATGAAAATGGAGAATCCTTTCTTACACATAGGAAGGATTCATAAACATGCTCATAATTTTTGCAAGGTCTGCTGCTTCCTTTTCCTGCCCTCTGCTCTCCTCACTTTCTGACATATGCTTCTGAATTCAGTTTTGCAAGAGAGAGAGATAAATACCCCTTAAAAGACTTGTTGTGTCACAAGTTAAGTTCCACTTACAGTCATTTCCTCCACCACTTAAAATTACATAGCTACATGTTTAATATCCCCTAAAGAAAAATGTTAATGAATGGCTTTGCCTTGAGACTATTTTAAGTTATAATCTTTTAAACAGCACATCTCATGCTGGACTGAACTGGCAGCATTTGAAGCCTCAGGTATTTTGCCCCCTCAGCCATTTCCCATTTCTTTCTCTAACCAACTGTTCTGTTCTGCCCCAAGGGGCCTGGCTTGAATGGCCACATGGGTTAAAGGAAGAAATTGTGCTTATCTGTTCATTTGGTCTTTAGTTAGAGGCCTTTGCCAGACTCAAGTTCCCTTCTACCCTGAAAAGTGATACTACAATTAAATGATTAATGACATTAATACCATTGAGAGAGAATTTCAGATCAGATTTGCTCACTAAGTGACAGTGAAACTGCTAGACTTGCAAACTCGCTATGGGATGTTGTGAGGCTAACCCACTTATCTTCTCATCCATGTCAGGACAGCAACAGTAAACAGCCTCCTTGTCTCCCATGAGGCTGTGTATGTACCAGAAGATTAAATCAATCTTCTTTATAGAAACTAGTAATGAGCCTGTTGATCCGTGGGCAGATGTTAATTTGAGTCACTCAGTCCATAGTCAACTCCACAAATAAAAACAAGAGTAAGATATATTTGTTGCCAAATTGATGGGGTCAGGATTAAATACCGGAGCACATGATTTGAGGAGCTATCTTCATATACACATGCACTAAAAGAAGAAAACAGCATTTCCAAGAAGCACACACACTGCTAGGTCACGTGAGTGAAACATGCAGTTAAGGCTGCTGGAGTGCCAGAACAAAAACGAACAGGCTGTGGTTTTAGGACAAATTTCTCATTCAGCAAGCAATAAAAATATCAGGAAAAAGGAATATTCAATAAGGTAGAAAATGGCAGGCTTGAAGAAATACATGCTTTCTCCCTCCCTGCAAAATCTCTTTGGAGCTATTTTTCTTTCTAGGTACCACACAGTTCACATGCTGGAAGCATAACAACAGTCACACATTGTAACACAAAACCCAAAGCTCTGTTGTTACATCGCAAATGACCTCAGTTATAGCTATTGTGATTACTATTATCTTTGCCATCGTTTGGAACTATGAGAAGGAAACTGGGAGGAGGGAAGAGATCATGACTTTAAACTGACGTGAGAGAGGATTTAACAATATAAAAGCATTTACAATGCTTAAGTCACATTGGAAGAAAGACCATATGGTTTATTTAGTGAAAGATTTCAAATTCAAACACAGCATCCCTGATTTACTTCAGTGACTTTCTGCAAACAAAGTCATCTGAAAGTCATTCTTCCTGCTGGCACCTGTTAGATGCTTGCCAGGCCTGAAATATTTTCAGCAATACACTTGGCCTTCAACACACAAATGTCTGCATGGTTCTTGGTGACATATGGAGCCACCATACTCTCCTATGATGGCTGGTTTGCCAAATTACTCTTCTGCTCATTGCTTATTCTTTGCCAAACAGTCTGTAGAAAAAATTATATTAAGTGCCTGACCAGACACATTTTACATGGGTCATCTTCCCCCACTCCCCGTTATTATCCACTCCACAAGACTATGGGAGGGAATGGCATAGAAATACAAAGCCTGCTGTGCATCTTCCATTCTTAAGAGGTTTTTCTGAAATGCTAGCAAGACTCATGACATGGGAACACACACATGCAAACAAGAATGAAGGAGAGCAAGCCCTACCTTCTGAACTTGATAGATCTAGGGGAAAAGGGAAAGGAAAGAAACAAAGAAACAAAAGCTAGTGTGAATGAATAAATAGCAATGCAATGTTCCATAGCTCATTCCAAAGGGAAAAAAAAAAATCAATTATACAGAATATACAGCAAAACATGAATACAGAAAAGTGCACATTGAAGTCCTGTACAGTCAGGTAGAATGAAAGCAGTGTTCACATTCTAGGCCTCCTCTGTGTGCCCAGCTAAAATACAGCATTCCTGTTTTCATACCCACTAGGGTCTTGGAGGCACATGCAACATTTGGTCCCTAGACTTTGCACCTGACCAGAGCCTAACCAAGCTGTGAGCTAGGACCTCTTGCTTTTTTTAACCCCCATCCTTCAAAGCAATGGATGCCCAGATATTCACCTAGGGTAACAGTTGTGCATCTACCATCCCAATAAAAGCAAATAGCATTTACTACAGAAGATCTGTTCTTCTGTTAAGGACAAATTTTGTCCTTAGTCAACTAAGCGTATTTACAAAAGCATCAATGCTATACATCTTTCACTTATGTACAATGTCATCTTGTTAAAACTGTCTGAAAATTTCTTGCACACATACTGCCAGCATTGGAGGATCTCTGCAGGTTGCGTTTTCAATTTTTAATGTTTCCATGGAGCCTCACACCATTTGCAGGCACTAGTAAATGCACTGCTGACTCTACAAAGTTTTTCCATAGTCGTGAACCATTTTAATAATACACAAAAGCATTATAGCCATGCTAATACATCTGAATTTTAAGTGGAGAACTGCCCTTGGCTGATCAGCTTTGCAAACCCACATGAAACCAGAAAACATGTTTTTTCTTGCGTGTCTCCTAGCATTTCTAAAGCAAGAAACCCTTTTTGTTCAAACACACCTAACTGGCTACGCAAATCCAGAAAGAAACTGCATCTTCGTTCTCCCCACTTCTCTGCTGAACACCTAGCTTTGCATATGTAGGAAACTTATCACAGCTCTGGTATCAAAGCCCTCAGCTGCCTTACTGTTTGTCTTCCTACATAAGCACTGATGCTAAATAAACACCAACACCAGCCCCTCTGCTCTATGAGTACAACCCGGGGGAAGAGTACATTGCTCTGACTCCAATCCCTCAGCTGGTCAGCAGGGTAGTCAGTCTCCCATAGCCTGGGATATTCAGTGGAGCCCTGCCATCCACTGCTCTTCTGGGCCACCTCAGGTGAACCCAGATCCTAGTGCTGGGAAGCAGATAGTACTTCTTTCAGTCCCTGCCTCCATGGCCTGATCGGGTTCCCCTTCATGATCATGAAGGATAACTGCAGAACTCAGCTTAATACCTCAGAAGCATTAATTCCTATTCCTACAAGCGCAGGGGGGATAATTGAGACCCACATCTGAAGCTAGCATTCCCACACACTAATCACCTCACTTACCTTTCTCTAAGAAAACCCTGAAGAGGAAAATGAAATAAACCCTCCCACAGTTCCCAAGACTGCATACTAACTCTGATCTTTTGCTTCTCCGTTGCACACAGAGTGCCTTTCATCCTCACACGGAAGCCAACCACCACTGGTTTAGATACGTCAATTAGTACATAGCTGTTTAACCTTTAAGCTTTAGCTTCCACCCACGCTTCGAGGCAACACCATGGAAGTCGCCTTTTCCAAACCCCAATGCTTCAGGCTTGGCACAGCAGGTATTCCTGTTGAGTGCAAAGCGCGACACAAGAGGTCTTGTGTCCAGGACCCAGATTGCCAATGGGTAAGATAACAACGAAGCCCTTGTTCAGGGCCAGTCACCACAGAGGGCAGTGGAGAGGGGCACAGAGACAAAGCCAAGTGCATCATCATAACTGTTCCAACTTTTCATAAAACCTGGAATTTTTTGGTCATCTGTTAGCTAACAGGCATTACACCAGCTCTGCTCCGAAGAGACTGATCTCTCATCAGCTTACTGTCCTTCTTACATAGTATGTTACAGGAAAAAGCCACTTTTAAACAATAATTTCTATTGCAGGAATGACCCACACAAAGAGCTTAACAGAGTCAATGGACATCTAAGCAGTCAAATGTCTTAAATAGCACTTTTCTGTATTACAGTATGAGAAAAAATGTGGTTTTGCCCACAGTATTAGTGGCAGACTGCTTTCCTGGTTTCCTCATCATATGAGGTTTCCCACAAACGTAAAGTTTTTCATAGAAATAACTTTTGAACTGGTAGGAACAAGCCAGTGGAGCATGGTTAGATGGCAGCAGAAGGCAGAAATTCAGAGTCTACTAAAAACACCTTCAACATTGTCATTCTCCAAATTTTCTTGTGCATCTTCATACTGGTTGTATAAGAAAGATACAGCTAATCATCACAAACCTCCTTCATTTATTTCCTGTATATACAGGCACCAAGTTTCACAGTCAGTCTCTCCCCTTCCATTCAAGCCACAAGAATTCTGCTTTTCTCTAGTTTTTCCTGCACTGCCTGGGATTTTCAACGGCTTCAAACAATCCTGAATGCCAGCTGCGCCGTGGGACCTACTGACTCAGATCAGACTTGCAGGCACCAAATCCTAGCAAGGGAAGAAGGGGCCTAAGTCACAGTCAACAGGATGGGTGAGCAGATCAAGAGTGTTTGCAAGTCTTTTGCCCAATTACCTTGGCTTTACTATGTTAACTGAATTTACTACATGCTCAAGGAACTGACATGGAAAAAAAGAAACCCATGACAGAAAGTACTGGTAACATATTTTATTCCAAGGAAATAGGAATCCAAAGGAGGACAAGTACGTGCAAATGAGTATGCTGGTAAAGAACCAATTTACAAAATAGCAAAAGCTAGTTTTGTGCTGTGTCCTTAAAGCGAAAGCTGAAAATGAAGTGAGGAGACAAGCACAATGCTCTTGCCTTGAACTAAAAGTACAGGCTCATCTGCTGTGTGAACAGGCAAGCAAGAATCTTATCCTGCAGATTAAGGAGTGGGAAGAGATCATTCTCTTTTCACTTCAGGCGCTAATATCAGCTTAAGTTGTGGTCTCCAAGTAGAGAGTCAGTCCTCAAAGAGACATTTAGAGTCTTGCCAGCAGAACACACAGAAGGTACTCCTACATAAAACATTCTCTACAATTAGCCCTAATGCTGCAGCTTTTACGTGTCTTGAAACATTACTGTTAAATATTTCTTGGAAAAACAGCTTTAATATATCTTATGCCAAGCTTCTAAGGGGGGAAAAAAAAAATCCACACAGAAAAAAAATTTTCTCTCCATTTTACCTGGTAGCCCCACGAGAATTAACAATTTGTCACTCAGAAAAACTGAACTGACAACTCCTGACTTGCTCTTCTTGCACAAATTAAAAATAAGTATCACTGCACACTCAGTGCCAAACGCATCTCTACAGTACAAGCCAAATGGACTGGCTTTAGACTCTGCAACTGTAAAACCAAATGTTTAAATGCCACAGCAGCATGGTATGGTAAAAAACAGAGGACCCATCACTGCTCTGACTCCCACCAGCTGGGTGGGTACCAGTGGCATGGAAACAGGCAAGGGAGCAAGTATCATCTATAACAATCCTCCTTTCAGCTTAGAACATGCATTGGCATTGCCTCACATGAGAGCTCTCCTGTACTGACTTACTATGCATGGAAGCATACCAGAAAACCTGCCATGATCTCCAGATTAATTATTTACATCTTTGGTGGATAACAACAACAAAGCAGTACAGAATAAGAAGTCAGAAACATTCAAGCAGTTACATTTACTAGATCTGTGCCTTAGAGCCTCATGTCCGTGAACCCTTTCTCTACTAAATATATATATACGTATATGCAATTCAAGAGTGACCACTATCCTTCCCTTCAGAAATTAGCATATATGAGATGATGATTCTTGTGCTCATTTTTCTTTTTCAGCTTCAGAAAACACTTTTCATTTACCTAGTTTATTCCTATTAAAGTTTTACTCATGCTCACCTCCTTACCTTCCTCTCCGTGGGGGGGGGGGGGGGCACGACCCAAAGCAACGGGG